CTCTCCTTCCTTTCTTCCTTCCTTCTTTCCTTCCTTCTTTCCTTCCTTCTACTTCCCCCCAGACTAACTGCTGCCACAGCTCACTGCTGTTATCACAGGACAGCAATCAATTCACAGATTTAAATTACCTCTGCCTCTGAGCTAATGTCCTCTATACCTGACCCCCCATCTGTCTCCCTCTCTGCCTTTCCTTTCCTTTACTCTATTTCATGCTCCTTCTCTTCTTTCCTTTGCTGTTTTCCTGACCTCCTCTCTTTTCTTTCTCCTTTGCCTTCATCTGGATGTAACTGTGGCTGTAATAATGATGTAGCTCTTTCCTCTGTTCCCTCTTTTTCTTTCCTTCTCTGTCGTTTACTGATGATGGCAGCCTTTGCTGTTCGAGGCTCTGTCAGATTCCACATGTTATTTGCTTCAAGAATTCCTCGTATATCGCCATTGCAGAAATAAATACTTGGGTGTAATAGCTTGCCGTGAGCTGTAATAATTAATACAGTCTTGTCGAGCAGTAAACTGGGGTGTGACTAATCCCTGTGCCCTTTACACACACACATGCACACACACACACATACAGGTCACACATAGGAAGAGATTTGTCATTTCATACAGTGATGTATTACCTGTGCTGGAGGTCTCTCTGCAGCTAATGAGTCCCTCCCTGCTCGGCTGTTACATGCATGTTGACCTGAATTAGACCCACAGTCAGAGCGGATGGATTATAGCTCTGACTCAGTCAACTCAGCTTTCCTCGGCTACGTTTTCAGCCGCGCAATAAGTGTGGTGTGATTTATATTCATAATAATAGGACCTGCAATAATTGAATTAAATTGATGAATTGTGATCTAGGTTGATCCATTTTTTCTCTTTACCAGTTCATCTCTGGACTGAGACTGAGAGCGATTCATCAACCCTCCTCAGTAACTCAGAGACAATCAACAGAATATTGTTCTGTGTAGCACCCATCAGTGTGTCATCTGGCTTCATGTTGACTCTTTGCGATGCTGTGGGTGATATCAATTTTACCAGGTCGAACACACAGTTAAAGATATATATTACACAGATTGCGGTGAAGCTAAGAGTCAGGATATTCTTTATATAAACAGCCAGAGGATGTGATGGAGGACAAAAGCGGATGATGCATAGATGATGCTTCATGAGCTGTGGCCAATATGGCTGCCTGGTTTGCTTCGCTCCCAAGAAGGACAATATGAGTTGTTCCAGCAGGTACCCTCACTTGGGTGAAAACACTTGTGTGCAGGAAAGATTATGACTGGTAGAGAAGAGAAAATCCAGTGACATCGTAATAGATGCAAGATGGTCCAAGTATGAGCCTGTAGGGTCCATAAGCCAATGAAAAGACAGCAGCAGAAGATCAACGCGTTTGTTTTCTTGACAAACTATCATGTTTATCTGCTCAAGAATGTAGTGTTAACGTAATGTTTTGTCAAGTTTAAAGAAGTAGCTAAATGTTCCTTGCGGTGTGATTGGTGTTAAGAAATAGTACGCTAAAATATCTAAAAATACTGCCTTCTTGGCATTATATGAAGCTGGTGTTCGCCTGTTGGAAAAGCTAAAATCAAAATTGTGAAATAAAGGTAAACAACATCAGTGTTTCATTCAGGTGAGTTGTTTATGTTTGTCTAACGTTATCCTGCTTGAAAAAACTTAAAATACAAGCGTAACAGAATAATGACTTCGTTACCAACCAGAAAACCACCATACAAAACAAGCTAACTGATCTGGTGGACTTGGGGTGTGATGAAATGTACGTTACATGGACTCAGGTGGACCCTCAAGGACACAGGAAATACACCACTGCCCGTACACTGCTGTCTTGTCGCTTTGAGCTAAGAACGCCTCCCATCCATACATGTGAGGTAGATCTTTCGAGCTACATGCAGACGTCTGCAGAGAGGCCTGCGTGGACTCTCACACACTTGGACAGACTCATATGGTCATGGACATAGAAAGTATAACACCAGCCTAAAGTTGGATCCACTTCATTTTCCTCGCATCTTGCTAATGTTAAAATGCAAGTCTACGTTAAATTGTTCACCTTTCATTCAGTGTTAAAAAGCGTAAAACTAACTGTAACAGCAGTGGTTTGTCTTCTTTCACATCTGGGCACCCTCAAGGTAGTGACCCACTTCACACCATCTAGGAACCTTACCCTCCTCCCATTGTCTCACAGATTTCCTGGCATGAGGTCTGGCCCCTTCTTAATGGATGGGTCAACAAAACATTTAATCGTGAGACTGCTGTTTCAGTTTTTTCCACCCACAGTCAACTCATCTCACTTTGACTCACTATGCAGGACAGAGGAGGGCATCGGAGGCCATCCCAGGGTAATCCTCAGAGAGGGGGGGAGGAGGCAAGTTGTTAAGTCAGGCCTGCCTGTCCAAAGCTGAGAAGATCAACAATTTCTCTTTCTCCCTCACACGGCCCTCCTCTGCTTGATCCTTCACTTTGTGTGGGATAATTACTGAAGGCCTTTTAGTTGTCTCCTGTAGCACTTCATTGGTTAACTCCTCAGTTTAACACAGTGTTGGAAGAATTTAGCTTTTAAGATCTGCCTCACCATAAAGATTTGTTTATTTTGTGGACCTCTCCCTGACATTTTTACAATTAAATCTAAGGTCCATATCATAACAACGCTTCAGAAGCCCTTCGTTACAGCAGGCTTCAGATAGAGATCGCTAATTGTAGCCGCTGTAGAGACTGAAGCTGTGTGAAATGACCATCTGTATTGTCTGCATTACAATGTGACTAATCAAACCCTGAGGAGTTTTTCCTGAGAGACAGAATGCCCTCCTCCACTGATGGAGATAACAGCTCTCCTGTCCTATAACCATTAACCAGCCAAAGAGAGGCTCTGACCTTGAATCAGGGCTTTTTATAGCACTGCACCGGATTGGCCATCTGAGGAAGGAAATGTGCAAGTCTTCATGCACCTACATGATGCTTTTTCAGTCATTTATTTTAGTCATTCATTACATGGTTTGTTTTTTTAGGGTTTTTATTTATTTATTTATTTATTTATTTATTATCTTTAATACGCTGTCACAGTTTCATTTAGGCTGTTTCTGTCCATTTAGACTCTTCTAAATCCACTCTTTCTTTGTCTTTCGATTCATTTTGGATCTCGTCTGGGTTGATTTCACCCGTTGAACTTTGCCTCATTAGAGCAACTGTAAATTTGTTCTCATCTTTAACTCTCTTTGTCATGTCTGCTCTCATTGACATGCAGTAGTGTTCAAACGGTGAAAGTGGCAGAATTCATGTACAGATGAGGTTCTGGATGAAGCACACTGCTACTGCCACTCAGATGAAATACAGAGAAAAGAATTATGTCCCTGTGGATGGAGGTAGGGGGGAAAAAAACTGCAAAAGCTGAAGAAAAAAGTCACACTAAAAGGTACAGATGAGGAGAAATTAGGATTAATATCGTTTTAACTCATTGTGTAAGCAGAAATACGAAGGTGCTCTTAATGCTTGTTGCCTGCTTTGCCTTCTGCACCCAGCCCGAAACATTCTGCCTCTTGCACTGTAGCGTAGCGCGCCCAACCTCGAGACGAACCAGTCCATTTTATTTCACTGCTCTCATGCCTTTGTCCTCACCAGAACAACTTGATCGTGTGGAGGAGGGCATGAACAAGGTGAACGCAGACCTGAAGGAGGCCGAGAAAGATTTAAAAGATATAGGACAATGCTGTGGTCTGATATGCCCATGTATTAAAAAGTAGGTACCGGCGAGGAGCTCCGCGCTCTTGCCTGTCCAGTGCTGGTGGTGGTGGTGATGTCTGATGTCTCTCTTGTCACAGTCAATGTCTTTTTTTGTCTCCTCTCCTTTGTCTCCCCTCTCTACTCTCCTCCCCTACCCACCCCCCGCGACTTCTTCCTCCTCTCTTCTCTTCTCATGTGCTTTCGTTCTTTTGCTGGGATAAATGACAATGTGTTGGTAATCAGAACAACTGGAGCGCATCGAGGAGGGGATGGACCAAATCAATAAGGACATGAAGGATGCAGAAAAGAATTTGAACAATCTAGGACAGTTCTGTGGTCTATGTTCATGTCCCTGTAACAAGTAGGTGATGCCTGTGTCGCCTGACTGCATGTGTTTCAGTGCCTGCCTACCTGCCTCTCCATCCATCTGCCTGCTTCTGGTGTGTAGAGCATGGTGAACTGTGGTGTGAGCAGTCAGGCCTAATGCCACAACAACAACAACAACAACAACAACACACTCTCTGAACAGGCTCCAGCACCGCATGCACAAGTGTGTGTGTGTGTTTGTCTGTTTAAATTAAGACTGAGGTCGAGTGAAAGATTGTGTACGTACATGGACAACACACACCACAACATGTGCACGACTGGTCCGATGCCAGCCTCAGTGGCTGTTGTCCTCAAAAGCCCTTCATTCCACATTGGATGAGAGATTCTCTTCCAGCAGGTAGCAGCATCCACACGGATCTTGGCCACGGCACCCACCAACCCTGTAAACCCCACCCAATCACCCACCCTGACACCCTGCAGCATGAGCCATCATGCTGTGTGCAAGTCCAACCCAACCAAAGACTAAATCAACTAGTTGCCTTCTTCTTCATTGCTCATTTTAAATGTTACCCCCATTGTAGCCAATTGATAACCTATTAATATTGACTTTTTTTTAATGTTTTACACAAATTAATTGATTATATGGGGCTCTTGCGACACACTCAACCAAAGCGGTATTTTAAATGATCAGTAGAAACTTTTGTTCCATTGTGATAGAATCTTACTTCCAGCAATTTGGAAGTTTTCACTTAATGTGTTTTCAAAAATGTGTAACTTTATTTTAACTTGCTGCTGTTGTAATCAAGAAAATACAAGTAATATACAGCCAGTACTTGCTGTCAGACAATCTAATGAGTCATTCAGATCAGAAATCTACTTTAAACTTTTAGAAATACATTTATTTTCTTTTTTGCAGAGAGTCAGGTGAAAGCATTGATGGTCAATATGTATGCGGAGCCAGCAGACCATTAGCTTAGCTTTGCACATAGACTGGCAGCAGGGAGAAACAGCTAGCCAAGCTATGTATATAAACTCTAACCACCAGCATCTCAAAAGCTCATTAATTAATACATTATATTTAGTTTGTTTATTGTATATACAACTCAAAGAATGAAAAGAATACATGTTGTTGTTTAAGTTACGTGTCGGACTATTCCCTGGCCGATGCTGTTTTTGTACAGACTAACAAATTAGTTCTAATGTGTTAATTAGTGAGCTTAAGATGTGCTAAGCTAAGCTACCTGTCTGCTGTTGGCAGCTTTATTTAGTGTGTACACGAGCAAGAGTGGTATCAATCTTTCATCAAACTCTGTAGGCGTATTTCCCAGAATGTCGAACTATTCCTTTAAGAGTCATTTTTTGGGTTTTTGTACAAAGATTTACTAAGTGTTTTTGAATTATTTACTCTACTGACAGTACAGTACACAAACCTTTTAATAGTTCAAGGTGTTCTCTGGACTGTAACTATAGTTGCTATTTCATCACTTACAAACAAAAATAGATGTTGAAGCAGTGAGAGCGGCTTTGGTTTTTGGCCCTCAGGTTACAGACTATTACTACAGTGTATGCTTCTTTTCCCTCAAGACTGTCTAACATAATGAAATATCATACATGAGTTGGGCAAACTTGTTTTCTGAGCACACTCAACATCCGGTCACACCATTTTAATCAATAATTTTCAAATACTTTGAAATCTTTGATGGAATCCTAATGCCAGTTTTGCCAAACTCCTGTGTGATGTGTTCTGAAGCCCTCAACAGCCAAACTATGGCCACTGAGTCATGTCTGAGCTTACTTTACTTTGGGACCTGTAATACATGTACTGTATGTAGTTGTGTATCTCAGAGCTATAGAAAACACAAGTGAATGACAACCCTCCCTCCCAATAAAAACAATCACAGGCTATATTCTATGTTGGGTTGACAGAACGATGCCTTAAAGGAAGTACGTGCAACATATTGTATTTAAGGTCACTTATTAGTTAAAATCAGCTTTTCTCTTAAACAGAACCAAAGATAAATTATCTGTTTTATATCTGACCTCTAAGTAAGGATCTTGACTCTAACAAATACAGCTAATCTGTTGTATTAGTAATCATTTTCTAGGATAAGTTGCCAGGTTGTTTGTTTTTTTAAATAGCCACAACTTGATTTTGGATGAATAGTTTGTTTCTATTAGGTGTTTGCCACATCTGTTTGGTACACCTTGGCAGTGCTTCCAGACGGCATTGTTTTGGGTTGAGATCTTGTATATTCTATAGCTCTTTGGTCCTCCCTTTCATGAACCACTTGTTATGTAATCCTGTGGTTACGTCATGTGTTTCATTGGATCTAGATTCTGTATATGGCAGCCCCGGGTCAAATAGCATGAAGAAAATAATTCTTGCTTGTTGTTCTAGCCTGACTGGAGCACCTGATGGGTGTCATGCACCACCTCAAGACAACGCTGTGAGACGCAAAATGAGCGTCACTCATTGGAAACGGAGCAAAATGAACCTGATTCACTGCGTTGTCCTCAGTGGAGGCCTTCACCTATCAGATACTCCAAGCATCATGAAACAAACGCTAAGAATTACATTTGCTTATTTGACTGAATGCAGTCTATCATCCCACAGATCTATCCATCCAGATGAAATGAAGGGCTCATCACAGCTAGTCTTCCATGCAAAATGATCACTGATTTTGTTTTTGTTTTTTTCCTTTTGGTTGTTTTTTTCACCACACTGAATCTAACTGGACAGCTTTCTTTCAATAGATACAGCATATATCTGATCCTGTTCCTCTTTACATGTTTCCCTTTCCCATGTCAAACAGTGTGTAATATGTTTCTGCCTTGCGTGTTGTCTCACTGCATGTTTGTGTATCTGTGTGTGTGTGTGTGTGTTGGTGTCTCCTCTGTCTGGAGTCTGCTTATTGTGTTCTGTGTTTGTGCTCTTTGTATTTGCTTGTGGGAGAGGGTTTTCTCAGCTCTGATTTCTCTCACAGAAGGCACACGTGTGAGCTTATTGTGTTTTGATTCAATTGATCTGCATGCTGGATCAATTATTCACTAACAAACTGCATGTATGGAACTTTATCATACGTGGCATGTTGCTTCTAGTCGACTAATTGGCCCGACCTCATGTTTGCATTGCATTCTAAACATATATTCATGTATATGTTTTGATAGTGAATCGCAAAAAAAAAAAACATGCATGTAGTAAAACTGCATGGACACACTCACACACACACATATACACACACTGGCTCACCTACACTTCACATTCACAAAACAGTTCACAAATATGCACAGCAATATTCACAAAGACTCACAAGCAGCGACAGTGTCCCTGACTGAAATGTGTGTGTGGTAGGATTAAGGGCGGGGGCCAGGCCTGGGGAGCCAACCAGGATGGAGTGGTGAACAGCCAGCCGGGGGCTCGAGTGGTGGACGAGCGCGAACAGATGGCCATCAGTGGGGGCTTCATCCGCAGGTAAGCATATATGTGTGTGTGTAGGTGTTGGTTTACGCGTGCCACTGTGTGCGTCAGTGTGTGTTCGTGTTCGTGTTCGTGTTCATGTGTGTGTGTGTGTGTGTGTGTGTGTGTGGGCGGCTTGCTTGTTTCTGTGTGTGTATATAGATGCTTAGATATGTTGTCGAATATCTTTGAGTTTGTGATACTGTTTACATCCATAAATACGTAATGTCACATGAGATTTAGCCTGGAATTGGTTCAACATTTGACTTTTAACCTCCTAAGACCTGCATGGACATCACATTTTGGCTTATATTACCACAGTAGTTAAGTTTTTTGAATTTGTTTTTATATGTATTATTTTATTATTATTATTATTACTTTATTGTTATTTATTTATATTTGTATATTTTTTTGTTCATTTCTGTTATATTTTTTATTTGCTATTTGATCAGATCTAATAGCATTTAGGAATAAAAAAACATGCATATAGGACAAGAGCTTGGGTCTTAAAAGGTTAAAGTAACTTTTCTCTTTTTGGACAACAGACCAGTACACTTGTGTTGTCATGCAAATTTGCCCATCCAACAACAACGTTTTCTCTGAAGAATGGATACAATTTTACTGCACTTCACTTGTATGTGTAAGAGCAGAGGGACGAAGCAGTCTACAACAATAAGTAGTAAAAGTTAATGCAGTGTGTTGCAGTCATTTCATATAAGATAAAAAACAACAATCCTCACTGGAGCAACAGTTTGAACTTTGGTGAAACCAGTGGCATGACTCTGGTTTCTCATCTTTATGACTTGTGATCCTTTGCAACGGCTCCTGAACTCATCGTATGTCATGTATGGCTCCAGCAGGAAAAGTAATCAGATCTTTGCTTTTCTCATTTTAAAAACGTGTCCAAATTATTTGTTTGCACTGAGAAGATTCTGTACAAAAAAATAAATAAATAAGCCTTAGTTCAACCAAAAAGTCTCAAGTGACTCATCACATCATCACATGACACAAAACTCTGTCTTTTCAAGTGAACTGCAGGCTGTGTTTACACAGAGCATAAGGGACACAAAAATGGAAACAAATTAGAGAGACTGAGAGGAAAATAACACATACGTGATCAATAAAATAAATGCAGCACAGATCAAGGTCCATATACAGAGGAGGGAGTTGTTGGGGTCACATTCGGCACAGTGAAATGTATTTCTGTAGTTGATGTGCAGAGATTGTAGATAATATATCTACATAATATATCTAAATATCTATGGTATGTGGAACCCAGCACTGGAAACATGCTGTACATGCTGAAGTTTTTCCAATTTTGTAAAATACGCAATTAAAACAATTCAACTTTTTTCTTTCTTTTTGATGATATATTATTTCTGTCGTACTGCACAAAAGACATTTTTAGTTCTCTTTGCTTCTAGCCATGGTTGTACTAAAAATGTCTGCTTGGAGTTCACAGAGATAATCATCCTGCAACCCCCCAAATCTATCTTGTGACCCATGGGAGGGTTCTGGCCCTCAGGTTGTTTTTGTTTGTTTTGATTTCGATCCTCTTTAGCCACTGTACTGCACCGGTAGCTTCTCTTCCAGGGGTCACCATTAATATTCTAACAATACTTCAATGACAGAAACGCATCACATTCATGCTCACAAAAGGACTCGGCACGCAACTACCAAAACACACATTCAACCTACATCAGCTCAAAAGCCTTCACAGTACATACAATAGCTCTATGTCATAATTTCACTTCTTGACAAAATTTTTTTTTTTAAATGGCTGTCAGTAACGTTTTAATATATATTGTTCAAGCCTTGTGGATCCAACGGACTCATCAGAGTTATTCCTGCTTTTGATTTTTTTAGTTCCCTGAAAACAGATGTCTGATAGCAACAGAGCAGGTTGTGTGGTTGATAGACACAATCTGGCCAGTGATCAGAATAGCTTGTTAGTTTATCCTGAGATGTCCCAACATCTGACATCTGTATCATTTGAAACTTCTTGTGTCTGCACAGTGGACTGATTTCCAGCACAGGTGACAACAATATCTCCAAGGTCATTTTTGGCCAATAAACAGTTGCACTTCCCCGTCTTGTGTGTTCTAGGGTAACGGATGACGCCCGGGAGAATGAGATGGACGAGAACCTGGAGCAGGTGGGCGGGATCATTGGCAATCTGCGTCACATGGCCCTGGACATGGGCCAGGAGATCGACACGCAGAACCGCCAGATCGACAGGATCATGGAGAAGGTACTGTACAATATTTATACCACCACCATGAAGAACGCTGCAGTTTATTTGGTGGGACAGGGTCCATGATGTAGCTGCCGCGTTACTGTTCTATAGTGGACATGCTGACTGAGGGAAGTTAGTTTGACTTGGAACACAGCTTCAGTGGAAAACAGTTTCTCTTCATTGTTGGAGAAGCAGCATAAAGATTAATCCAAAATGGACATGTGATGCTCCAAATTATTAACAACATGAAGCTACAGGAGAAAGTATGGACAGCTACGGGGCTACAAGAATGTGAGTGGATTTGCACATTTAGCTAAAATCAGAGGTTGTAGTTGTAACCCAGTATTACCAGAATTGTGGATAATTACATAAACAAAACGCAACAGATAAAAAAAACGTAGCTAATATACAGAATATGGTATTTAGCTGATATGTAGCATGGATTACCGGCTCACCATTAGCGGATGAAGCTGTGCTGATTCTGAGCAGATTTAGGTTTGACACACTAATGGAGGACATCTGATTCGCACGCCAGGGATGAAAATCTGGGTGTTAAACATTCTAATGGTATAGTTTGCCTGTCAGTTCAGTATGTGTGTCTTCATCACTGTTTTTTACACTTTCTCCTGACTGGTAGCTGAGCTCTCTAACACCTGCTGCTTTCCTCTTCCAGGCTGATTCCAACAAGACCAGGATTGATGAGGCCAACCAGCGTGCTACAAAGATGTTGGGCAGTGGCTAAGCTGCAGCGAAAAGTGCTTTCATCCCCATTCAGCCCCAGTCACCCTATTAACAACAACACCGACCGAACCCAGCCCCCAGCACCAACGCCCGGCGCCCACATCCTTTGCTCGACAGCAGGCGCCGCAAAAATCATGCTTTTATTGTGATACTGGTAGAGGTTTGCACACATGCACATATCTTACATCCCTCCGCTGCCCTCCCATTTCTGCCCGTCACTAAAACCCTGTTCCTTCCAACCCTTGTTGTCAGTGCTGTTCTGTGATGTCGCTCTTTTGATTTTGTTAAGAAATAATAGTTCCGTTACATGACGCCCACTCCAACTCTTCCCACGCTGTACATAGTGCTTCTTTAATGGCTTCAGTGATTTAGATCACTTGTCCTGTTTTCTTCATCACTCTTCCTTTTTTTTAAAAGTCTATGTGTAATATAAACTGTATGTACACCTCGTTTCCAAGATGTCCTTTCCACATGTCAGTTTTCTGGTGTTGTCCATGTAAGACACACTGTGTATTCATCAGTTACGATGTTGTGATGCTACATGATAAGGCCACAGTGATTTGCCGTGAATATAGTGAACATACAGCTTATTACCAAGGCCACTGTTAAAATACAAAGTCATTTCATGTAGATGTGGAGCTGCTCCGACGATGGATAAGAATTTGGGCCATTCAGATAAAAACATGGCTTCTTGGTCATTACCATGCACCAGTATTGTACTAACTCTGTTAATGGAGCAGTATTAAAACAATTTGATGCCATAGATTGTAAACTATTTTCCTCAGGGAGCTAAATCTGACCACTCAAAAGCAAAGGCTGGATATTTGATTGATACATTGTGATTTATTAAATCCACATATTTGTATCACAAGGTTCAGTGTGTATGTGTTTATGGTCTGAACAGCAGATAAATATTAGGCCACAAAAGCTAACATGTGATCGTGAAAGGAGGTGAAGCTTTGCAGGAGGTCAGAGTTCAACAGCAATCAATTCAACCATTACAGTCACAGTGAGGTCAACGACCTCCTCACATCCCAGGCCGCGATTTGTCCATGATTCAACCCTTGCAATATGAAGTAGTCCTTTAAGTGTGTTATGCATGTGCATCCGCTGCTAGCAAACACTGAATAATTCATTTATCCAGGCAAAAATATCCTAACATGGCAACCGCATGCTACATATGTAGGCCACACAGAGGAGAGGCCCGTATTTATCTGCAATAGTGCCACTCTTTGTTTCATGTCTCTTTACCTTTCCAGACTGTGACCATCACTGTAAAATAATACCTTGGAAAATGCCAATAAAACCATCATAACTGTAGAATCAAACTGAGCCTCCTGTCTGTTTTTATGACACCGACGGGGAATGTGGGGAGAAAATTGTGTGAAGTCATGGCACTATAACAGTGTCAGCAGGGTTACTTTATTTACAACTCAGCACCTAAACTGGCTGTTGGAGTTGTTTTTATGGCTCCAGTAGCAGTTTGAGATTCTATATTTATTTAATGTGCAGAATAATGAACAATTTATGCTTGACATTGAGGATGCCCTCAAAAAACATTGTGATGCAAAGATCAGAGCCACAGTAATGTAGCGAAGGTGTATATTAAATGGTGGCAGGAGCATGTGACAGCATGCTGGGATAAGAGATAAAGCCTGTAGTGATTGATAGGAGTGAGCTTTTTCATTTCTACATGGCAGCGTTTTAATTAAGTGGATAGAAGGCAGAGATCTAAGTGAGGGCACATATCGGAGAATACAGCAATACCTTTAAAATCATGTAAACAGGCACTGCGATCGCTCAGCTGGTTGAGCTGGTGTCCCGTGTTCAGCGGCTATAGTCCCTGATGCAGAGGTCATGGGTTCAAGTTCTATTCATGGCCCTTTTCTGCAGGTCCTTCCCCCATTCTTCTCTCCCACTTTACTGTCTCTTGTTCGACTTTCCTATCAAATAAAGGCAAAAAAGGCCAAAAAACTTGTAAGCAAAGTATTTCCACGCTCTCAAAAACCTTGTTTTTCTTTCACTTTTATGATCCAGGATATCTCATCTCACTTATTTAAACTCATATTTCATGTTGTGTTGTATGATCCAGTTTTTAAAGAGGTCTTGAATGCCGATGCTCCACACAGAGTCATGTGACCGGCTTTACATAAGAAAATGAAACGTTACGGTCGCTTTACTCAGCCTGTGAAGATATCTTTGCAGGTGATGTTACCATCGTAACAATGCTACAATTCACAAGGGACCACAAATGTAATATAATCCAATTAAAGGAACTGTGTTTTTTTCTTGCGCTGCTCCACGGGGAGGTCAGAGGTCTAAATGGCTAAAACATGCAACGTCAACATGGATATTTAAAGCTCTAATGTGTAGCAGACACTGAGGAGAATAAAAGCCTCGCTCAGATAGAGAGAGAGAAAGAGACAGGAAGAGACGGAGAAGGAATGATGTGCAGCAGCACATTACACTAATGGACATCCACTGTGGTGCCCTGGGCTTAGGGCGGATTAGAGTTTACCACGTCACTAAGAACACTGACACACACTCACACAAACTTGAATCAACAACAGACACACACACGCACGGCAGGGTAATCCACCATACCTTCATTACATCCATTACACAGCCCTGTGCATGCATGTTGTGTGTATGAACACACACAGAAAGAAGAAACATAAAATGGTTGAATCTTACCATTGCAATTATTAAACTAAGAACACTTACATCTCATCTAGTTTAATGGCAAAATATTTATATTTCAGAATTAACTCCTGTTATGTGCACTTATTTCCCAAGTTATTTACTGCAGAACCAGCAAATGAAACAAACCTTTTCTTCTTGTTTACTGTAGCCCATAATGTAGTCAGAGTGATCAAGAATGTCTTTTTAAACCTACAGCTCCCTCTGCTGGTATTTTGAGTCTTTGCACTGCACTTCTGTTTTTAGCTGGACAATAAAGTTACCACCAGTTTTACTCATGAAGTTCAGTTTAGGCACCATGAGAGGTTCAATACACACCTTGTGAAAACAGTTTTAATGTCTTTTGTGGCTCCTTAAGAACTTTCTTCCCCAATAATGTCATCAGGATCATTTCAGTTTTGGTTTGAGATTTCTTGCATCAAAAAGTAGCCTTGAGGAGTCTGAATGGGCTGCAAACAAGGATTATTTCCCCTTTCTACTCATCTGTCTAGTGTTTCCTAGATGAACTGATTAGTTGTTTGCTCTGTGAAATGTCTGAACATGATCAAAAATGTTGATCTGTGGTTCCCAAAATCCAATATGTCATCCTTAAATATCTTGTTTTAGCCCAGTCATGATTTATATGACGGGCTAAAATTCAGGAGCACTCGATCAAACAATCAACCAAACTTGAGGTGATCAAACCAGTTACTTTGGCTGTTGCTCTGATGATATTTCAAAAGCCAACATTTTGGAGTGCTTTGAAGCTAATTCCAGGCCTCATAATATAGTTTTATTTTTATATTTTAAAACACTCATGATGGGTTATCACAAAATGATTCCACAAGTGAACACCCTACATTCCCTTTGTCAGTCACCTTTCTGGAAATATTATGAAGTAAATTAAAATATCGAGCAATCTTAAATAATTACACTGTCAATCTCTACAATGGTAACTCTGAGTAATTAGTATTTCTGTTTAATTTAGTCTGGAGGCCTCAGTCAGCCAATTAAGGTCAAGGCTAATTTTGACCTCAATCCTACTCAGTGCTTCTAGGTCTCAAACTGACCATGTATTTATTCCTTCATTACTTTATATTCTACATGAGTAACAAACACAGCAATAAACAAATGTGCCAGAAAAATGAAGTTTAAAATTAGGTTTCAGAGATGGTATTGCTAAATCATCGCAGAGGGATTATCATTAAGCAACTTGCCTATTAGCGGCTTGGTCGACGAGGCGTTCGGCTATCTCCGTCAGTCACGTGACCCTCGCCGGCCTCTTCGTGTGTTTCCGTCCATAGTCTCCCTCTTTAGCAGACACAGGACGGTTAGCAGCCACTGCGGTAACATGTTCCAAGCCGTTATCCGCCTGTCAGCCTCCGGGGCCCGGAGTCTGGCTCGGTCACGACCCTGCTACTCAGGTAGGACTGTCCGCTTTACACCTGGCTCGAAAATGACTCGCCTCTTGTCATAACGTTGACTGCAATACGCTTTGTCGGCTAGCCACCTAGCTTAGCCGCTGCTCTGTGCGTCTGTGTAGCTAAATGCTAACAGGGGGTGACATTGAATTGTTTTGGTGAGTTGCTGTCCTTGTGGGCCTGTAATTAAAATCGTCTTGTATGTAAGCCTCTCGTATTGTAATTTAAATGACAAGGCGCGAACTGAATTTTAACGAAAAAGTCACGACCTTGCGATGACCCTCCTTACTTTGTTCGAGAGTGTCAGTGACCGCAGTCCAGACGCAGCTCTTATCAACACGCTGTAATGTCTGAAGCTAACTTAGAACATGTCATTTAGTTTGTTCTTGGTGATATAGTTACCTTTTGCACTGAGCTTACTGCGGACGTTTTGAATAATTGTGCTACTGATCTGATCTGATGCTGGTATTCTGTCAAATTACCTGACCTGAACTCCCTGCTCAGGTCAACTGTAGCTAGCTTACAGTATGTGTGTGTCTGTGCAGACTAGGTCACGACTGTGTCATTCACGCTTGTTAGTCTACAAAAAAAGTATATATGTATTTATAAGTTTTTTACAATATCCTCCAGATAAGTGTATTTGTAGCTGCAAGTGTTGGTGATGAGTTGATGAACTTGGATTTATTGTACTAATAAAACTGGGATCTGTTATTACTTCAGCTCTTATTCAGATATGTGTTCGGATATGACATTATAGTTATGCATGATAAATAATAAATGCAATACTTTACAAGTATGCAGCGTATGGTATTTATATATGCTGTGTGGATTTCATTTCATGTTGTTGAATTAGATGTGTACGTGTTGAGGAAGTCACACAACTAACCACTGTGTGTTTAAAAAAAAAAAAACTGAAAGCAACCTCGTTGTACTTCAAGTTTATTGCCTAAATGGAATTCACACACAGGATCAGCCACCCGAGCCAAACTCTGTCCTGACTTTACTTCCTCAAAGCATTTAATGGCTGTGCACCTTGCCAGAAAGACGCACGCTTTGTTTCATATTTACTACAGGTGTTTTCTTCAGTTTGTTGTAGATGCAAAATTGTACAGCGTGCTCATGAGGTTAGAAGTGCTGCCGTGCTACTGTATGTCTGAATAATGGTGTGCGGTATTTGTCTTACTTGTGTAAACAGTCATGTAGGATATCTGTAGAAAAGACACAGACCGGCCCACAACGACTGGTCAACTTCATAATCTTGTTTATGTAAATATTTACTCATTTACATCAAAATTAGGTCAGTTGTAGGTTGTTTTTCATTCAGGTGAAGTTACTGTACTCCTGCTTGTATTCGGTCTCTTTTGTTAGATGATTAAATAGGTTTTGTAGAAGGTTTTTTTTTTATATTTCTATACCTCATGTACTTATATTGGCCTGTACTGGGTGTACTCTGCCTTTCGCTTTAACTCAGCTGGGATATGCTCCAGCTCCCACGCAACCCTCTACAATATAGATAATGGATGGATGTACTTCTATTTTTACAGAAGCTATACTTAGTTATTGCATCGTCACTAGTATTTAAAAGTCAGTGTCTGGCTCATTTTTTTTCCAGCTCCTCTGGCCTCCAGATGTTACTCTCATGGCAAGGCGGAGACGGATGAGGAGTTCGATTCCCGTTGGGTCACTTACTTCAGCAAACCTGACATCGATGCCTGGGAGCTGAGGAAAGGTGACTGGATTGATGTTATTCACTCGATGATGAAGCTGCCCACCTCTCCCTATTGTTTCTGTTAGAATTTCCTAGTTTTGTCATTGTCATGGTTCCCATTTGACTTCATTTGGGAATCATGATAAGAGCATTAAGCAATAATGTCACTTTAAAGTATATTGCTGCTTCTATTAACTAATGGGCCTTTTTCCAACCATTTTATCCTGAAGGCATGAACACCCTGATCGGGTATGACCTGGTACCTGAACCCAAGATCCTGGATTCAGCACTAAGAGCTTGTCGGAGACTGAACGACCTGGCCAGCGCCATCCGCATCCTTGAGGCTGTCAAGGTGAGTGACATTCCCTTCATAGGTTCACTTAAGCCAGGATTATAAACCCCTTGCGGGCTTGCACACGGACAGCTGCGGACACCATGGGCACGTAGTTGTTCTAGTCATACTACTTTAGTTCACTGGGAGGACGCGGTGCCATACAGGTGCAGTAGATTTGTGTTTATGTGATCCATGCATGCACCGACTGGCTCTCGCAAACTTTGGCAAATGACAGAATTTCTGTCTGGCGTTAAGTGTAACACTGGCCTCAGTGTCGACATCATGCTTTTGTGGGACTTTGTTTTGTTGAAGCGGTGCAACTCTTAACAGATTTCGAACCAGAACTTGAAGGAGAATGAAAAACCAAAGTACAGAAGAAAAATAAAAGGACACTGCTAGAGGGAGGCTGATATCTAGACCCTATTGTTTGAGACTGATGATGACTTAACTGCCTGGGTTTGCAAGTATGGTCTGTGATCAACTTTTCATCTTTGCTGGGATTTTGTTCTCATTTCCAGGACAAAGCAGGCCCCCACAAAGACATCTATCCCTATGTGATCCAGGAGCTGAAGCCCACCCTCGCAGAACTTGGCATCTCAACACCAGAAGAGCTGGGAATTGACAAGTTATAGACGTTCCAGGTGAGACTGCACCATAAAAGCTATAACGGGCCTCTTTCAGGTGTAAATAACTAATGCTGTCCAGTGCCAGTATTTTGATGCTGACCTTCTCTGGCTGTGCAGTAGATCATGAATGATATTGTACGTTGCTTGTAGTTGAAAAGAGGTTTTGTTTTTCTCTCCTCAGGTCATCTGATGTATAAAGAGACGAGCTCTACTGATTCTCTCCAGCCAGAAATGTCTATATTGTTGATTAAACCCATGCTGTCTTGTTATGTACAAAATAGTGAACCTAATAAAGAAAACAGTAATTGAACGTGTGTGTTGTTTGTTTTTCTGGGGCACTAAGACTGCAGTGGAGGCACAGGTGGAAATAATATCTGTGTGCTCATACATGGCTGCTCCTTCACAGGCATGCTTTACTGAGCTGTTTACATGGAACTGAGCTGTTGTTAATGTAATTAGTAACGTCTGTGCTTCCCAGTGCTATGACAAGTCAAAGTATCTGCTGCTATAATAGGTCTGTAAAGCTGGGTTGAAAATTGTGAGCAAACGATAACAAAATCAACTCACGCGAAATGAAAACAAAAATTGTCTTTTGCAGATTTTGGTTCTTCCCTACATTATCCACATTAAATCTCTTAAATGCCAAATATTTCCCAAGGAAATGCATAATGTATGAGCTCCAGGGTCACAAGCAGCTGAGAGGCTGAAGATAAAACACTGCAGCATAGAGCAAGAGAACTGTTTGAACAAAAGAACCAGGACCACAGCTGCTGCTCTCCTGCTGATTCTGATCTTTGACTCGGGAGTTGGGCCTCATTAGGAGCCAAAAGTACAAAGAGGGATATTTGATTTGTATTTTAAACTGTGTTTTAATTTGATTTACATGTAGACAGAGCTTGCAATAAGCATACACCTCAAATATTCAGGAACTGTTATTTCCTCATTGGTACAACCATTCAGCCGGTTACAGACTGAGGCTTCAGGTCTTTTCTCTTCACAGCCACCAGAAGGCGACAGAAGGCTGCAAATCTTTGTCTCATTGTCACAAGCACATCACACAGTCCCGAAGCAGAAATTGCAACATTTGCAGGTTTATGAGCTTCAGTATCTGCTGCGGAAAATGGAAGGCCTATAAAAGAAAAAATACATATAGTTTTTGTTACTATCTTCAGTAACAATTTCAAGAAGTCATTTTATTTATTAATTTTAAAGAAGTTTTTCTAGCTTGCTTGAGAAACTATTCTTTGTCAAAAATTAAAACTTAAAGGAAACAAATGTGCCACTGTTTTTGTTTATTTTTTTTATCACAATGGTTTAGTGACAATAAAAAGAAAAAGGTTTTTGATTACAGATTTTTCAAACTATTTATTTATATTGCACTTTATATTTTCACAATCTCAAAGTGGTAAAGTCTGATGTATATACAAGAACAAACATTTACATACACTGTATGTATATCAAGGCAGTTTTGAGTTTCCAATGTATCCTGTAACTCTCAACTTTCTTTGATGGGAGTCATGGAAACGTGCGTCTTTGTCACAAAAAACAATTCTTTTAATTTCACTTTAACTAGATGTTTTTGTGGCCACTTGATTAATTACACAAAGACATTTCTTTTGTATTACATGTCAGAAATTGTATATTCTAATATATAAATTAAGCAAATATTATAGCAACAAACACTTAATTGTGTATGCATGCAATTAAATGTCCAATAGACAAATTGTAGGAAAAAAAAGAGCACACAAAATAAACATAAGCATGCATATAATCAGATGTAAAAGGTGGGCCTTGTGACTAAAATGTTTGTAACCACTGAGCTAGGTTATGAATGCTCATTTGAATTTTTAATAATAATTTAATTTGGGCGACAGGTGCTTTAAATGGTCCAGGAGAAGATATGCAGGTGCTAGTGAGAAGAAGAAATTCATCCTGGTGACTTCATTGAAACTATATAAAATCTGATGTGACTCTGATCCCCCAGCTGTAGAGTCAGCATCATGTTAATGTGTCTACTCAGAGGCTAGCTTTATGGTGTTTTTGGAGTTTTTTTCCCCCTAGTCTCATCTGCGTTTCTTTTAAGCACTGGTTTCGTGATTAGAATTTACCTTTATTTTATTATTATATACTTTATTTAAAAAAATAAAATAAATACAATTACATATTTTTAAAAATCTACTTCCTTTATAATTTCTGTACTGAACAGGAGATTTGATTGAATTTAAAGGCTAAAAACTGCTTAGATTAAAGCATTAAATTCTAACCACGCCACTGATTTTTGTCTGTAGTTTCTCACCCTAAACATTTTACATTTTTAATTTAAAAGACTTGTTTGTTGCAAAATCCCCTCTCACTCTTTTTTTTTAATTTTTTTTATGTTTTACCCGGAAGTAGTCTGGCGCCTGTCACTGCTAGCAGATTAGCTTAGCTGCTAACAGAAGAGTGTGTCTGCTCCTGAAGAACAGCTCCAAAGTCCCTCTCCTGCGGGACGCCTGTCGTCATGGCTGTGTTGTGGTGTGAATTGTGACAACTAACGCCAAGATGATGAACGACATAATAGAGGAGCCGGAGAAGGACACTCTGCTGGAGGCGCCGCAGGAGCCACAAGTTTTGTCGGTAATGTCTGCTAAAGCTAACGGCTAACGCTGCACTGTAAACAGAAACAGGGAGGCTAGCTAACTAGCCTAGCATAAGGATGTTTTTTTTTTTTTGACAGTTGTTTAAATGAGACACGCCAACAGAATAGTTGTAGAGAGGCTGAGCGTTCTGTTGCTGCTGAGTTTGACTGTAAATTGTACTGACTGACATGATTAATAGGCTTTTAAAAAAACAATTAAAAAAACATGATCTCTTCCTGATAAACGAAGGGACTGCTGGGAAGATTTGGATAAGGCTTCTATTTACTACATTTCATATGCCTGCTGAAATGTAGAGGTTTACCTCTGGAGCCACAGTGTTGTTAAATTAGATCAAAATGAGATATTCTGGAAGAAACACTTTTTTTTTTTCCTAAGAGGATTATTAGTAAATCTGATGGAAAGCTTTTTAAAGGATCCTCTTCAAACTTTGTCTTGTCATTTAATTATCACATATCATGAAAGTGTCATATGCTCTCTCATGTTCCTCGACACCATACATGAACATCAGATACATATTTTTCCTTCTTTTCTGAAACTTCAGGGGCCAAGCGGCGGCACGAGACCCAAGACCACCGATGGAGGCATCAGGCCGGTGGAGAAAAGAGGACCTTACATCATGTCCAGAGCTCCAGCCATCCACCTCAAACTACGTGAGTGTTTCTCTGACTCAAGGCACCGGTGACGTAAAAAGGCCAGCTTTCCACCTGTCTGTCTGCCAGGAGTTCTTTCATGATTGCTGTTTACATGTGTGGTTCATACTCGTGTGTGCATCATAAGATAGGATGGCGAAGGAGTGTTGAATGTGCAGTTAGTAAAGTCTGACTCATCTGACAGCGTTGTCCACCCACAGCTTCTCTCAGACGGAGCTTATAGAACGCGCGCTTATATAGTTGACTTTCCATAATGTCATCCACTGCCTACTTCCATCACAGCAAAGACTGCAATGTTTTTGTACCACATAGATCAGTGGCTGCTGCATAACTGTAGGCTCTCAAGGTTTCGCCAACAAACATATGTGCATCATTGATTGGCGAATCTGATTATAACATTAATTTGGCATCTAAAACAGGCTTTGTGGGTTAGGGTTAGGGTTTCTGCATATATTTGCATAAAGCCAAGAAAATTTTACAGGGAGGGTTTAATAGTAACTGTTGGGTTTCATGCATGGGGAGTGGCTGTAGTGAGAATCTGTCATGTGAGGATTGCAAAACAAATTGCCCAAGACACACGGCGTCTTTTACTCACTCCCCTGTGTGTGTGTCTGACATGCCTGACATTCTGAATTTAGACGTCTAATTTATTGCCTGCAACCCATGCAAATCAGCATACTTGTATTTTACTGAGAGCACATTCCTGTATTTTATTGTGTTCCAAAAAGTTGGGGAAAAAAAACAGAACCACATTCAGTTGTACAGAAGAAATGGTTATATCATGGTCCCAATGTTGTAAGTTATATGTTGTTTTGAATCTTTGTAGAACCCCTCTGAGCCCCAGGCACCAATACACACTACGTGGGTCTAAATGTATTAAAGGTCTCAGAGTAGACACACCAAAGGTCTTAACATGACACATATTTAGAGGAATTAAAGATTTTTATCAGCATTCTAAAAACAGCCTGCAGAACTGCTCTGACCTGCTAAACATTTAAGCTAAAAAAAGAAAAGAACAATAGCGCACACATTCCAGTAGGTTTGAAAACGTACATTGTTTAAGCCTTTCTTTTTTTTTGACCATAATCATCAAGACCAAGACAGTGAAAAACATCAGAAAGAATGATGTCCTCCTCTCAAAGATCAGCTGAGATCCAAGTAATTTTGCATTTATCTTTGTATATAAGCAGCGCGTGATGTAAATAATGCAATTTTCTGTGTATTTGGTTGTTGTTGTTGTTTGTTTTTCTGCACTTATTGTCCCAGTCTGCCTGTTAATATAAGCATCTTAACATAGTGACAAATCCCCCTTATGCAGGACCCCCACTACAACAGTTCTGGGTTGATTTATCTCAGTTTAAAGCCTCTCTACAACCCTAGAAATGTGGTCTGGGATCTTTGGGATTATTTGGTAATGTGAGGGGTTGACAGATCCATTTTGAAAGCTGCAGGTTATGATGATTACAAAATAGTCTGGAGCAGCAGTGCAATGCTACACATTCTAGCCATTGAGACTAATGTTAGCTATAGAAATTAAAACTGGTTGCAGCATGTTGTTGCACCACCGTCTCAATTTTGTTTCCATCTGTTAGCGAGTGCACTGCTCCCTGACTGCTCCTTCCGGCTCAATAATCTGAATAATATTCGGTCGTGTTTAAAGAATCAGTATTTTTAAATCTCTGAGATCGGTGCATGAGCTTAGAGAGAAGAACACCTGTGAAGAGTCACCTTATATTTGCGATGCAACACCATCTCAAAATCTGCTTGGATTTTGAAACTGCTGTAGTCTGAGCCTGGCATTAGAAAAGACCTTAGGCTCCTTATTAAGAAGTGTGCAAGTAGGAAGCTTTGTTATCTCAAGTTCTCTGTGCTTGGAGTCTGACTCATAATGGTTGGTTGTGTTTCCAAAAGATTTTATAAGTACAGGCTATGAGTTTTATTTTTTTATGTAATAATAGTGGAGAAGACAGGCTTCCTAACATTTGGAAGTCTCCGAATCGCAACAGGTAATCTGTGTCACTGTTTACTCTCTGCCTCCTCTGTTCATACTGTCGGTTCTGTCAGCACAATAAATGTCTCCCATTCTGCTTCTCCAAAGAGAAACACAGAGAGATGGCGAGGAAAGCGTTGAAGAAGAAAGCCCTTTCTCCAGGGCCTGCAGTGACACATCAGCCCAGACAAGGAGCCAAGAGGTGAGGAGGCTGGATGAGGAAACGGGATGCAGCATTCTGTGATGTCAGCGTGATTCAGAAGAAGAGCTTCCTTCTTTGACTGTTTCTGCTTCCCCGTTTTAGGACAGTGAAGTACAACAAGGGCTACGCTGCTCTGAGTCAACACGCCGAGGATACTCTGGTTGCACTGGACTCAGACAGGTAAAGTCACACCAGGTGTACAGGGGACAGGGATGATAGATTCCTGCTATAGGCGCTAACTGACGGTCCGCTATTACCACGTCTTCGGAGATTATTCTTCTAGACTAATTACTGTTTATTGCTTTTCTTTTCTCCAAAAATATGTCCTTAAATCCTCACAAATGACTGCATTTTCCATAAAGTCATCGCTAAACTGACCATTTCGTCTGTTTATTCGGATTCAGTTTGAGTGTGTCGGCAAAATGTGTCTCAACAGAAATCTTTTTGTAGTTTCAGTGCTTTTTTTTAAAAAAGATTGTTACTCAAATCAAGATCAATTCCAGATAAAACTTCCCAGTTAAAGTCACTGTATTCCTCCTTAGCTATAAAACTAAGTCCTCTGGATAAGGATCAGTTCCATTTTGGCATTTATGCAGCAAGTAGAGTAAAGTGTCCCCGAACAGGTTTTTAGTGGACAGTTTCTCACATCAGAATGACAGCATGTGTCCTACCTGTCGTTACAGTGATGAAGAGATCGATTTTGAGCAGTATTCATCAGGGTACTCTTCGGCTGAGGTGAGTTTAGCCCTGCGGGACATTTTTCAGATTCTTTCACGATCTCTGTTACTACATTGTCAAACCAGCTGTGTGACTGCTGCTATGTAACTGTGAAAAACATATTGTTTTGGCCGACCTTATACAATATTCGGTAAAATTTTTTTGTTTTTTTTTTATCAACATGGACTTTATATCTGTGTCGATTCTCAGTCATCCAGGTCATAGTGATCCCGGGAGCTTCAGTAAAAAGGTCCAGTTGCTTTTTACTGAAGCTGCTGGGATAATGTGGGCTTTATTTTTCCATTTAGTCCTTTCATCAGTGTGACTTTTGTGTTGTCTTTCACTAACACATTGGTTTAGCTTGTCAGCACACACTATTGAAAGTGGATTATTGAAAGCCCTGCCCTGCTATTTGCAAAACCTTTACAATGTAAATATTCACTACAATAGAAATACATCTGTCTGCACAATAAAAAACAGGCAAATTATTTAAAGGGGCTTTGCAGGATAGTTGCACCACCAAATTATACAACATTTAAGGGGTTTAGAGGAACAGGTTTATCTCAAAGTGCTTATTTGAACACAACTTGGTTAAAAGAAGTCATTACATGTATAAAAGATTTAGAACCGGTGCCAGGTTTTGTTTGTGTCACATTCTGAAGTGAGGACCTGAACATGAGTATATGTGAGAGTAAAAAGTGTGTTTTGTTTCTGCTGTTGTTTTCCAGTCACACACACACACACACACACACACACAGCGCCTCAGGCTGTTTTTCTAACATTAAATGTTAGAATATGTGGCGTTCTTAACCCTCCCTTTTAGCAAAAATTAAGTAAAAATTCAGTCGTACCTGTTTTCCTGCGTTGTTGTTGAGTAATGACACAATTTTCATAACATGTAAAAGACACAAAGTCGACAAAGGTTTAAGTAGTTAACCCCTCAGAGACTGACAGAAGTGCTTCATGTCCAAACTCATCTGAAAGCGGAAACGGAGCTTTGTAAATACGCTTGTTACATATTTGTACATATCTAAGTGAACACGGCGTCAAAACTCCTGCAAAGTCTGAGCTTCACTAATAACCTGTTTTCACAATCCTGCTTTTCAGTTGAACAAGTCACAAAGTCTGTTGTGTTCAGTAATGTAGGTCTACTGCATATCAAAGCAGAACCTCCCAGTGATACTTGTTGTTTCTCTGCATGGCCAAGTAATAAGGTTTAGAAGTCACAGCAAATGTCTGGAATGTGTCCAACACAGGTCAGACATTACAGAAATCTTTGTATGAGAAATAAACACAAAATGATGGATTTGCTTTTAATTGCAGTAGTTTAAATTTTGACCATTTGACCATTCACCCTCTGTGAACTTCAGTAACTGTAACTCTACACAGAAGATAAACACAAGTGGAATGTTTACCTAATTATGATTCTGTGATGCGTGTTTTTGACGGCGGTCTCTGTCTTTGCTCTCCAGGTTCATCCTGATTTAAGCAGGCAGCTGCTTCAGGATGGATACCGACTGGACGAGATCCCTGATGATGAGGACCTGGACCTGATTCCGCCCAAAGCCATGGGCTCCTCTGTGTGCTGCTGCTCCGAGGGCCCGTCCTGCCCTTTGCAGTGATGTCAGTGGCGCCACTCAAACCTTACAATGGCTTGGCTCCAGCGGCAGCTGACTTTAGCCTCTGGTGCCTGACGCCTTCTTTCTAACCAAGCTCCACTGCTGCGCTGCCTGAGGACTTCCAGCTCTGAAGCCAAACCATGTTTCATGCGGGACTGCGTGCACTGAGATCGCTCAGCCCCTCTGAGAACGCAGATGGACGTGAGAACAAGCCTTATCCACTGTGACCCCAAAGCTTGACCTATTTTTTTATTTATTCTTTTTTCTTTTTATAGAACTACATGAAACACTAACTACGCCACTGCTCTAAACTTAGTGGCCGAGTAAGGCAACATTTGGGATGTGCCCTTGTTGGGAGAGCTGGTTACCGTCTTTTCCTCTCTGACAAACAGGTCTGCTGCCCTCTAAGCACGACATGCATACGAGTATGATGTATTGTGTTTCAATGTTTCAGCCCGTCGGTGAATCTGCATGTCCCCATTGATAACTAACTGCTAAATGAAGTAATGGCACATCACTTGAGCATTCCCCTCCTTTTTTTCTATTGTTACTGCTCAGTAATCACATTTAGGTTTCATTCCTAGATAATGTGCTCATCACATAAACACAACTCCTATTTCAACAACAACAACAAAAAACACACAAGCAAAGCACTGAATCGAAATAAGATGTGTAGTGTTTGAGTAAAACAGCTTGATTTCTTCATGGCTTATGCGTAACGAGTAAATATTTTCTTTAAGTGTTACAATGTACAAGAAAGTTACTACATTTTAAAAGCAGTCATTGAGAAAACTGCTGCACACCAAGAAGGACGCCCTCATCGTCTACGAGTAGAAGATTTACATTGAGAAGAAAGCACAAAGTAAAGGTGTCTGTTATTAATGTCCATTGTTATTAAAGGAATACGAAGACTGTCACAGTGCTGTAAGCGGCACAAAATTTGAACTGATGGCAGGTTGAAGCGCTTTAATAAATGAACCAGTGACAGTCGGACGTTACAGTGTTTGCATTGTAGAAAAGGATTTAATTCCAGACACCAACATGTGCCAAAGTAAAAAAGAAAAAAAAATCTGTTACAAAGAAATTGTAGACATAAAAGCGACATCTGTAATTGAAATCTCTCCCCCTCTTTTTTTTCTTTTTCTTTTTTTAAACTTTAGAAAATACTTAAGTGTAAATGGAAAGAGTTCCACAATGGCTTTGCATTGATTACTTTTTTTTTTTTTCTATATGTAGCATTTTGGTCTAAAACCCGATCCAGGAATCTAAAGAAGGAATTGTGTAGACATCAACTTTGAGTTACATTATTTTATTTATGTATTTATTCATATATTTGTTGGGGACGTTACAGGTTAAAATGAGACCAGCTTAGCATTAGATTTGAGCTTTTTTTTGTCTACCATTTGTAATGCATATTTACATACATTCTTTTGAACAGTGTGTTGGAATCACTTACCGTTTGTGTTATGACGCATCTGTCGCCGTTTTCTGCACAACAGACACACAGACATGCTGAAAACACTCAATCAGAAAAGAAATATATTATTTTTCTTTACACTTTAGAAAATGTATGTGGTCACTAAAGTTACTGTCTGGGTCATATGTTGCTGTTCATTGTTGGTGTTGAAGCTGTATTAACAGAAATATCAGAGTAAGTGACAGCGATCACTTTCTCAGGAGATTGGTGTGTGTGTGTGTGTGTGTGTGTGTGTGTGTGTGAGTAAGTGAGTGCACAGATAGAAAACAATTTGCCTTTCACATTCATTTGTAAAATGAAAGATTGAAAGTTGCACATGTGGTGAAGTGCATAAGTGTTTTAAGTCAGGATAAATGTGCGGCTGCTCGCTGACCTACCAGCAAGCACCACACTAGTATTTCTCACACAGTGATGTTGGTTGTTAGATGCCGAAACTCTCAGTCATATAAATAAATGGTATAGCAGACTGCTTGCTGAAAACAAAGTACAGAACTGGAAAGAGTATGTCATGCTCTAAAAAAAAAAAACCCCAAAACGTAGGAACTTTGGTTTGTACTTCACAGAGTTGGGATCAGTTCGTAAGTGCTAATTCAGGAATTGAGTTTGTTTAAACCTTTGCAATTAAACTGCTTGGAAAATGTTACCTTATTAACATTTGTAATGTAAACTATCTCCCCTCAGCACTCCATGGTTGTAATGTGGGTGATTTAGGAATAAAATCTGATTCTGCTATTACACAAGTGTGAGCTAAATGCTTTAAACGGACCAGCTGAATTTAAAGTGTATTGGCCCCGGCCCCGGCTCTGCACGATGTCTTTATGTACAGAAGATTTTGCACTTAGTGTGGTCAGTAGCAAGTACACTTTACTCACCTGTACTATGCAACTATTGGGACAATCTGCTTGTTTTATGTCATTGTGACAAGATAGGGTTATTGAGTGCAACATGCAATAACTGAAATTGTTTTTTTTGTTTTTTGTTTTTTTTTTATGATGGTAAACACAAATCTTTTATTTGATTGTACTATTTGGTTTACATTATTAAATAAAACTCAGTTAATTACACTTGCATGTGTGTTACTGTGATTATATTTGTCAGAAACATTATCAGTAGAGCATGTCAATGAAGTTTGTACTCTGGCAAATAATGTGCTGTGGTGCTTGACAGTTTGTCAACACTTTGAATGACACAGGAATAATATACTTGCTCATTTATTTATTGAGGAAAATTATGCATTATTACATACCTGTGAGTCTCACAAGGACCTGCTGTGACTCCCGTGTGTAGAAATAACTGCAGCTAAATGCTCCCAGTAAATGTTGATCAGTCCCTAATATTGGCTCTGAAGGTATTTTGGTCCGTCCTCTACAGAACGGTTTCAACTTTGGGGCGTTTGTTGGTTTCCTCACATGAACTGTTCATTTCAGGTCCTTCCCCAACAGTTCTATTGGATTGAGGTCAGGACTTTGAGTCGAAACACTCACTTCATTCCTGTTTAACACTTCTTTACTAGAACAACATTTGTGCTTAGGATTCACTGGTAGAATTCAGAATCCATCAGTGATGTCAAGCCATTCAGACCCAGATGTAGCAAAACCACCCCAAACTAAATGGAAGCTGAACTCTTTCAGTGTAAGCAAAAACATCCTCACAACATTTTGCCACTCATTCATAGACAGCGTTATTGCCTTCTCTTTTACTTGCTGGTTTCACTCTGTCTCTATCTAAAGTTAAAAAAAAAAAACAACACAGCTACTCAGTATTGTGAAGATCAGCTCCAAAATTATCGGGCTCCCTGTAAGAGTCCTCTCCAGACCTTAAGGAAAGCCAGCAAGATCCTTCAGGACCCATCACACTCGCTGTTCCCTGCATTTGAGTGGCTCTCCTCTGGACGTGGCCTTCGCTGCCCAGGCTGCCGGACTCGAAGGAGGAGGGCAGCTTTTGTTCCCAGAGCTGTCCTCCTTCTAAATGCACAACCATCTTTGACCTGCTGACTCCCTGCCAATAGCCATGTATTTTAATGTAATATTTATGATGTAGTTTATTTTTTATGTCCTTATATTAAATACTCAATGAGCTTTTGAATTGCCCCGAGGGGATCGATAAAGTTATTTGAATTTAACTGAGGTGAAACTATGATACTGCCACCGCCATGTTTCACAGATGGGGTGAGGTTCTTACGCTGGAATGCAGTGTTTTCCTTCCTCCAAACATAATGCTTCTCGTTTAAAAGTTCTGTTTTGCTTGTACACGTGATATTTCTCAAACTACAGATGAGCAGCAATGTCCTTCTTGGAGAGCAGCAGTCCTGCCATAAACACGAGTGTTGTTCAGTGTTGTCTGATGGTGGACCCATGAACATTAACATTAGTCAATGTAAAAGAAGGCTGTAGTTGCTCAGAAGTTATCCTTGTGACTCTGCATGCAGACACGCCTTGCTCTAAGAGTGATCTTTGTTGGTTAACCACTCCTGGGGGTGGCCTCCATTTGTACACAAACTGTCTGAGTGTGGATTGGTGGAGTTCGAACTCTTTCAAGAGGATTGTAATCTTCTTCAGGTGCATAAAAACCTTGATGCTCTTCCATGAATATGTTGTGAGACTTTAATAGATCCTTGTTCAGGTGCCTGCTCACAGATGTGTAATGCTGAATTATTCTCTTCAATAAATAATTAATCAAGTATAATATTTTTGTCTGGTTAGCGTAATTGGATTCTCTTTATGATATGTAACATTTTCTACACCTTTATGTATGCAACAGTGTACATACACCAGCAACCAAAGCTATTATGTAAAGTATTTTATATGCTTTTTTTTTCTTTCTGTTGAGTCAATAACAAATGTTATTGGTCTGAGTCAGTGGCAGGTGTCTAGTTACTGTGGAGCTACAGCTGAAAAGAAAAAAAAAGTTTGTTTGCACATTTGTTATCAGCATGTGAGAAGTTATTGTGAAGCTGCCACAATATTGATTTATGTCCACTACAAACTGTCTTCTAATTGGTGACGTACATTGAGCTTCAGGTAAAGTTTAAATCACTTACTTTTAGGAGTGAAAATCTGATTATTCATATCTATGCAGAAATAGACAAAATGGAAATTCTAAAGGGTATACATCTGCCAGGCACTACTGTAAATTATTATACACATCTAGTTAATATACAGCTCTGATCACAGTGAATTTTACACCATGTGTTGTGTAAATTTGCACACTTATGCACCAATTTGCTACAGTTGCTGTCTATTGACTTGCAATCTTTTTAAATATATATATTTTAAATCTCCTACTCCCCATTACAGCCTTTACTGTAACTCCTCTTATGATAAGAGGACTTCCACTTGGTGATATAAGAGTGACATAAGAGTCTTATGTGAAAAGCTACTTGGCAATAAAACTGATTATGCTGAACGTGGTGGTGGCTGTTTCCAGCAGGGGGCAGCATGGAGCCATTCTTAATGCCATACCTGTTGCACTTCACCGACACTTTACATGAAGTTTTTTTTTTTTTTTGTAGCATCTTATTTAAATATTGCTTTACGATCATGTTATGTAACATTAGAAAAACCTCTGATTCTATTACCAGGACATGCATGTATGTATCTTCTTGGAGAAAGATCTATAGGTGTAGAAATCCATTTCCGATCGTGCAATTTGGTTTTAGTATATAAACATTTCCACTGATAAAAAAAATCCACGCGTGTCTATTTACGTTTTAACGGACTATAATGCTGAATGCATATGGCGCCATTTAACTAGTTCACAATAAAGCGCGCTTTAAAAATACACTTTAATGGAGGGCTTCTCTTTATTTAGTTTTTAGACCACTGAATACTGTTTTAGACACATAATGAAATGTATGAAATGAATAAATTACAGGTAAAGCGCTAAATGAGTGTCATGAAACTGAAAAGGCTGATACTTGTTGCTGGCGCTGGGCGGGCCTAAAGCTGCTGTGCGCCATGCGGGGGGTGTCAATTGAAGGGGAGGAAAAAAAAAAAAAAAAANAAAAAAAAAAAAAAAACCGACTGGGAGTTACCTCAGCGCTTTCCGAGATATGAGATCGGGCCATTTTCCAGTCGGTCCCGTTTTCTATTAAAGAAGAAAAAACCGCAAAAAAAAAAAAAAGAAAAAAAAATTCACCGGGGACACAAACACCACCTCCACCACCGGCGGCGGGCAGGACCAGAGAGCTCGCGCACAAACAACACAGGACGGTTCTTTGGGCTCCTCGCGGATCTCTCAGCCTGCGGTCGGTGCACGCTCACTGTCTCTCTCTTCCCCCCCCTCCCCACTCCCTCCTCCCGTGCGCGTGCGCGGGCGTGTTTACAAGTGTTTGAACGAGTGCCAGAAACGAGGGAAGAAGGAGGATAAAGCCAAGGAAGGAGGGATGGTGGACAATTCGAGCAGTAGTAAGGCACAAATGGTGAGTCGCGCTCCTTTGCCTGGCATCCCGTCACATTTTCTCTTAACGAGCCGAAAAAAAACACGCAGCTTTTAACCGCCTTTTTTTTATTTACGGAAAGGAGTTAGCTAGCGTAACAGTTTCCTAAAGAAAGAGAAGGACAAACTTTTAAGAGGTAATTTGACCATATGGTAGGTTGTTTTTTCACCCCCCTAATTTAATCATCTTAGGATAACACTGTCATGTAGTCCACGTTGATACGTCAGTAGCCTAATTCTGCTCGTTTGCTCTGTAACTGAGCCTAAAACCCAATACGCGTATCCACGTATTTTGAGGATGTGGCAGCTAACTAGCTAAACGCGGAAAAGGTGTTGGAACAGTTTTCACTTGAGTAGTTGTTTGTCTTCTTCTTCTTCTTTTTTTTTCTCGAATATTTACTGGAGATTGTTCATTTAACATCGAGGTTTGTGCTGCAGGCAGTTTGTCTCACGCTCGGATTAACTAGTGTGGATATTACAGCTGTATAAATTAACTTTATTAACTTACTGAGTGCTCTTCATCCTTTTTCTTTGATAAAGACGTTTCTCTGTGGGAAAGCTCTGAACTAGTCCTACAATAGTAATAATAATACTTGAAGTGTGATTTTGATATTATGCTCTTATAAAGGAAATTTCTGTCTGGCTCCTGTAGTGTCTGTAATTTGACGTTTATCTCCCAAAAATGTAAAAGTGTTTTTGTTAATTGCTTTTTTTTGCAGAGGTCTGGCTCCACTGCTGCTTTTATGACTGAACGTAGGAATTTTCCTGTTTATGCTTGGGTCTTGCAGTTTAGATGTAAAAGTTGAGAGCCTCAGCTTCAACAGTGTCTATTTTATTTCACAAATAATAATTGGGATTAGTCGTTGCAGATCTTTCACTCGGTGGCACTTAGCTTTGGCCCCTCCGGTTCAAACATTGACTTAAGTAAATGAGTACAAGGAGTTACAATAAAGTTTTTACTAGCTGAACCTGATGAAAACCATGTGGCTGAGTTATCCATATTTGTGTGCGTGTGTCAGTTTATGTTTAAATCAGGCTTCTTTGTTTCCACTGGAGCTTTGAGGAGTAATTAGATTTGAGTGTACAGCAGATCATCCTTGACTCCTCGTCTTTCTCCCACAGCCCAGCATGTCTCAGGAGCCCGGTGTGGCCTTTCCTCAGAGCACCTCTACAGGAGGAATGAAGCTGGAGGCAGTGATGGAGCAGCTCCAGCGCCAGCAGCAGGCCCGACTGGAAATGGAGCGCAAAGAGAGGAAGCTACGAGAGGCCCACATCATGTATGCTCAGCAGGTTGCTGCCCAGCAGGCCATCCTAGCAGCTGCCCGGGCTTCTGGGGCCAGCTTCATGGGCAAAGGCCTGGCTGGAGGCATCCCTGGCGGCGGGTTGCCTCCCCGGGTGTCCAATCAGAGCAGTGTGGACTCAGAAAGAGAGGATGACGAGGACAGAGGCCGGGATTCTGGGGACGATGACGACGACAATGAGATGATGGAGGGGGACGAAGGCAGCGATGAGGATGAGGGAAGTGCCAGTGGTCTGGAATTCCTCCGCAAGCAGACCCTTGCTTTGCAGCAGAATGCCTCCCGCATCCCGGCCCGTCCATTTGGCAGTTACTCTGCGTCGGCCCCCCAGAGGGCTGCATCCCCACCTATTAGAGTGAAGCAGGAACCTGATGAGGGTCTGTCTCCTGCAGGGCCTAACTCTGCTACCTCTCCTAACGGACAGGCCGACTGGGGCTTTGATGATCACTTCAGACAGGTTAGTGCTTTGCACCTTTGCCGTATCTCCTTCCCATGTTAATCTTTTCCCAGTTATTTCTTCTTTTCAAGCATTGTCTCTAAAAACCAAAGGCTATCGTGTAGAACTACTTTATCTGAAGTGATCGTTTAAGATTATCACTACAGAGTGCCCACTGGCAATACCGCTGCCATAAAAATGGTTCCGTCTCTTCTTAGCGTCAGTGAGTTTTCTTTGATTTGTCAGTCAAGCCCCCTGCTGTGAGAGACTGCTTAATCTTTACTGTGGTGCAAGCAGCACCAGCAGTATCTTTGCAAGACACTTCAAATCTCTACGGAGGTTTGACCGCCGATTGGCTTTTGTGGCGAAAAATCCTCCTAAGTGAGCCCTGGCAGAGGGCCAGGCTGAGGCGCAATGTGTTCACGCTCACTAGCTCTCTCCCTCGCCGCTCGCATTCTGTGTGTGTGTGTGTGTGTGTGAGAGTCTCTCGCTCTCTGTCCCTCTTGGCGCTTTGCTCAGGCTCTGGTTTGGCTCTGATCCAGGTAGCGGAGTCAGGCGGGGCAGTGCTGCTGCTGCGAGGCTGTGGGTGGTTGGCCGGGTCAGCACGAGGATTTTGGGTGGGTGGAAAGGTTGGATGTAATACACAGTAGCAACCTGTCACACCCCACTCTCGCCACCCTAAGAGTTTCGGCTGTGGGCCAAGAGTACTTTACCTTGAAGGTAAATATTGCCTCAGCACAGTGTTACAGAACACTGGAATGCCAACTGGGAACCAAGCCGAGCTACATGTGGTTTAGCATCATACTTTGAGACATAGCAGGTTAAAGAGAGCTCAGCGGCCCGTGGGTGATATAAAAAGCCTTAGCTGCACAGGAGTGGGCAGTGTCAGCGGACATATCTGTGCTTGATCAGTGGGCCGAGGCTGCTGGACTATCATGTGTCTGGGTTTTATTACTGTCTATTTAAAGGCAAATGTCTTTGAATGGTGCTTCTCTTGACGACATTTCCAAATTTAGCTTTGGAGCTTGGACATTAGAAAAGACACACAGGAGCCCCGCAGTAGAGAGATGCACAGTGAAGACAATGATTAACATGTGTTGTAGAATAGTAGTTTATTATTATTTTCTAGTATGTCTGCCTTCACAGGAATCTGATTGAGGTGATTAAACACATTGCTACATAGAATATGAACATTGTATGAAATTGAGTTTCACTGCATTCTTGTGGCTGATTGTTGCTTTTAGAGTTGTCAGAACGAGTGGAGGAGTATTATCCCATCAGATGGTGTGGCTTTGTCTCAATATTGTTGGAACAGAAGATCATAGCAGAAAAGTTGTAGCTGACCAGTGCCCTATCTGTGGCCTGGTGTCTTTTATTAGGAGAGGCGGGCTGAGCCTGGGGGTTGGGGGAGGCATTATGGGACGAGAATTGGTCTGGCCTTTTTTTGTTTCCTCTCTTTTATCTTTCCTGTCATTATGTCAGCTCTGCAGTATTTAATGACGGCTCATCTCTTCAGGCAGTTTCAGGTTGCACTGCTGTAGGGGGAGGGGGACAGTGGAGGCTGGGGACCTGTGTTTTCCTTTTTTTTTTTTTTTTCCTTCTTCTTTTTTTTTTTTTTTTTTTTTTTTTTTGATGTCATTGTCTTCGAGAGGCCAGAGACGAGCCTGGCAGATGCCGCAAATACCGACCCTCTGTAATAATGGGGGAGCACATTTATTATGTTCTAAAAGCAGTGACAGAGGGGAGATGAGATACCAGCTAAAAGGACAATTGTACAGAAGACCATTAACATTTGCATTTCATGTAACCAGTCATATTGGATGGAGTCTTTATCCAAAGCAGTCTGCGTGTGATTGCCATGAGCGCAGTCACAGCAGAGATACTGCCATGCTGTTGCATCATAGGAAACCATACTTAGAGTGTGGCTCCAGAGACATACCCTGGTTTAATATTGTCCATTTGCTAATTAACCAACATTTCATGTAACTAAAATTAATGATTGTAATGATTCATTTCTCGAGACAAAGAATGGTATGTCATAAGGTGTTGCAGATATAAAATTAACCATTGGAGTACACATCTAAAGTAATGATGCAATTTGCCTCATCCAGCGGCAAAACTTGGCCTGCAGTCATTTTAGTAGTTTGTGTTAAAGTTGGGTCCTCCTGAGTTTCTTCAACGTATGAATGTTGATGTCCTATACAGGTCAGATGGGGGTGGACAGACATGGTAGCCAGTGCTTTCGTGTCAGTGATATATGCGTGGTGACCTCAGCCCTGTCCGAAACAGCAGAGTAAATAATTGTCAAACAAGGGGATGGACAAAGGCGTCGCGTGGAGGGAGAGCTGGGCCAGGCAACCGGCTGGCCTCCACGGCAGTGGGACAGAGGCTACATGACCTCTGTAATCCTGCCCCCACCCGCCCCACCTCTTCTGCTCACATACACACATATGTAGACCCCTCCTCTTCTTGTGATCGTCTGTCTGTGATTAATAGAGTTTTAATCAGGCCTGCCACACACAGATTGCGTCCCGATATATTGGCGATGACATTGGTGCAGTTGGATTAGCTGGATGTTGTTACGGAGAAATGTCGGATGGTGTGCTACAGGTGGTGTGCGAAAGTTGTGGCTTTGGTTCTGCAGTTGTAAAAGTCTTTTGCTCATGTGCAATTTCAACTTGTGACTAATGAGACAAAATGAATGCAGTGAGCAGAGCATGTCTCCATTTGCGTTGCTGTGATCAGAGGGAGACAGCCAACAAAGCTACAAGACACAGAAACTGCTATGAGCACTTCTCTCATTACATCACAGGGCTAAATAGTCATTTTTAGGAATACTTGCTAATTGTGCCACCAGGAATACATTTACAGGGGACAAATAAAGTTTTTTTGAATTTGAATTTAAATAATTTGCCCTGTAGCTAACCAGATTTGAAGTTGATCTATGGTCTAGTTTCAGAGATTCTGCAAACCAGGAAAAGCTGAGACACTCGTTGTTTGAGTATTTCAGACTAAAGCCCCTTTTCACACAAGGCCAGTGGTATGGCAGAACTAGATACTGATGCTGTTGTGTTATACGTTGGGACAATGATTCCACAACACCGGCATCCTTTCTGAAAGCACGCACTGAGAAGGCATTACACCAATTTTGCTGCTTTTAGTGTGAATGAGCAACGGTGGCCTCATGAAGAGGTCTTCTTAGCTGCATTATTGCATGATCTCTGTGTGCAAGGGACTTAAGGAAATCAGTGCAACCGGACATCTCAAGAAAAACACAGAACTCGTCTACAACTTGGGGAAAGAATTCTTTTACCACAGGAAAAAGGGTGTCAACCAGACCACTGTTGTTCAAATCTGGTTTCTTGGGGTACTTGTGTCTGTTATAGGTGATTTCTGTCACCCTTGAGCCCTGCTTTTGCTGCTGAGGCACTGAATCCTGTCTGTTGAGGCAGCACTGTTGCATAATTTAGCTGTCGCCCCAGCAACACATCAGCCAGGAAGTGGGGAGCTGCATGACTGCAGCGAAGAGATCGATAAGGGTTGTGTGTGAGCTTTAAGAGGCAGGAATGTTTGGCCTTGTTTTCCGCTCATTTATGATAAATGAGGTGGACATTGTATTTGGCAGATGGACTCAAGTTTTCATTTTACCAGTGGAATGTCGAACAAGTCTGCCCTGGTGCATCAGCACACCGCTGCAGTATTGTTGAAAAGAAAAGCTGCTGTATTTGTTAGAAATGTACGACTGTGTCACCGTGCCTCTCTGTACCGTTGCGGTGGGAGCCAGGAGGCCTCTCTGCCTTGTGATCATGCTGTATATGCCAATCTGTCCTGGCTTCTGCTCTCTGAATGTTATGTTGGTGTCTCACATGCCATAACTGTCAGTGGGTTTTAAATGGTGTACTTAGTATTATTCTGTTTACTGGACTTCCTGTTATGCTGATGTAATAAGGCTGGAATTACCGTCTGTACGAACCGCCTGCAAATGGAGGTCATTCAGATGAGAAATAAAGGCAGAGGTCCATTAAAGGAGCATACTTGTTCAGAACAAGAAGCGTGACTGCAATGTGGGAGACCATTATGGTCTTGCAATGCTCAAACTGTTGAGCTACACAGGGAACTGAAATTCACAGACTGTTCACTTATACGAACACTGACAGCTGACACTGAGAGCTGCTTGATTATGGAGAAGGCAAAAAATCTTTTATTTTGGTCGTTAGATTTTGAACACAGATTGTTTACTTGGTACATTTTTTGTTTTTTTAAATGTAAAGCCTTTTTAAAAGTGCATGTACATTATACCCAACTTCAATGAACAATAAATGACAGGCACTAGGAGTTTAACCTTTTGTTTTTTCCCCAGCTTGTTTTTAAATGCTGGCCTTTATTTGTCTAAACCATACCACCAGCCATTATCAGGGACTCGGCTTTTACTTGACTACCCGTTTCTATTTGAGGAAATATAATAATTAGCTTGTGCGCTAGTAATTTGGCATCAGATTATATGCTGCGTTACATGTAAGTGGGATTCTGATTCTGAGGTGGCCACCACAGATGGCAGCTTTGGCTCCTCTGCCAAGCACATGCATTTTACGTGTATTACATATCATCTCACAATGATGTAACCCCAGCTAACATGCCCTGTTAGTGCGTGAAGAATGCAACGCTTGGTGAACATTGGACTTTTTGGGAGAGGCAGTAGTGCGCCAGTGTAATAGAAAGGAGTGCACTGGGTTTATACCATAAGACAAAATGAGAGCATCTTTTTGAAATGGATTGCGTCATTTTTTTTATCTCGATTGTCTTGGTTAATCATTCTTGGAAGCCAAAATTGTAATTGAAAATGTTATGAATGGCACAGTGACCATATCATTTTACTTTTACTTGACCAAGAATCAAACAATGTTACAGTGAAGGACCAAACTAAATAGTTAACTGTAAAATTAGTCAGTTATTTTTTAGTAGCGTGGAAGTGCAATATGTTTCTTTAGTTCTTTTCACACAGTTTTAATTTTTGAATCCCT